TCTTCCATCCTTTTTTTTTCCTGCCCCCCCTGCGTGTGTCTCGGGGGTGGGCAAAATGTGGCCCGCGGGTGAGATGTCCCAACAGGCCGTTCTATCCAGCCCGCAGGGGCCCTAAAAAAAATTAGAAAATTAGTATTAATCTGCCCCTGGCTGCCTGCCATGCGGCCCTTGATGGCTTGCCAAAACTCGTTTTGGGCGGAGGGCCACTTACTAATTGCCTGCTCCTGGTGTATCTCATACTTAAAGCTAACAGAGAAGCCACAGGTTTTATTCTGCCCTTTTCCTTCTACCCTCACAACTTCTGCAGCTCCTAGTATTTCCCCTGTGACAAATAACTCACTGGGATTTGCAAGGAAAGACCTACTTTTTCAGCCCCCCTCCCTTCTCCCCGACAGTGGACAGTGTCTTGTACAAGGCATATGGTATGTTAGAAAGTACGGTAATTTTTAGACCAATACCACTCTAACCTATACCCCTGTAATTTTTAGAGGTGTGTGTTTTTTATATGTGGTGGTACTTTTCTGAGTCGCTAGAATGGGTAAAAGGGGCCTGAGTTCTTCGGAGGGGGGGCAGCAGGGCCAATCACCCTGGGGGGTGGGGGCTTAGATCAGTGACCCTGTTTTAGGGGGGGAAGTTGAATGCTGGACATAGGGGCAGGGCAGTTAAGCTCCTCCTCTTCTTCCCCCTCCCAGCAGTGGGTCCTTCTGGGGTTGGGTCCAGGCACTGGTTCCCCAGACAATAATTGCCTGTTGTTCTCTTCCAGGTGAACAACTGGGACAGTCGCCTGGAAGACGGCACTTTCCCTGGCAAGATCTGATAGGCCGACAGCTGCGGGTTGGGTGCTCTGCCCACCCCCCTGGGGCGCAGCGCCTGGCACTGAGGGGTAGGTGGTTTCAGGCCTGTCCGCCTGCTGGTTCCAGTGCCGGTCTCGTTTGGACTCGCAGGGCTGCGAGACAATAAAAGGGATGAAAACTGGCCTCGGTCTCCTGCCTGGGCTGAAGGGAGGGGGCAGGGTGGTTTTGAGCAGGTTTCAACTCCCCTCCAACCCAGCCTTCCACCAACAAAAGCTGGGGAGAGAACCCAGGTGTCCAGGTTCCCAGGTCCCCTGCTGTAACCCTGCCCAGAGGCTCTGTCTCCTTTGCAGACCTGGGAGAAAACCCAAGTGTCCAGGCTCCCAGCCTCCACCCCCTAAACCCCACTTCCTCCCAAAGCTGGGGCAACTCCAGGTGTCTGGGTCCCCCTCTGTGCCCCTCCCAGACCTGGGGGTGGAGCCCAGGCAGCCAAGGTCTTGGCATCCCTCCCAGAGCTGGGACAGAACCCAAGCGTCCGGGCTCTCAGCACCCCAACTTTGGGTTCATTCCCAGGTCTGGAAGCCACACAAGTGTCTGGGCTCCTGCCCTGCACCCCTAAATCCCACTCTTCTCCCAAAGCTGGAGAGAACTCAGTCCAGGTTCCCAGCCCCACCCCCATTCTAACCCCCCAGGCTTTGGCTTGAGTCTGAAACATGTGAGGAGTGCTGTGATAGAACAGCAACCAGGCTGCTAGGTGCAAAGGGCTGGAGGAAAAAGGTCATCAAAGAAGAGGAAATCCTAGAAGGGTTGGGCTGGGAAGAACCTCCAGGGATCACATCTGGCGCAACCCCTTGCCTGAGGCAGGGTCAGCCTTATCCAAACCATCCCAGATACCTCCATAATCCCAGACGCGTCCTTTTGCAACCAGGTGACCTATCACCTGGACAAGGGGGAAGAGATTGATGTCATATATCTTGACTTTAAAAAAGCCTTTGATCTGGTATCCCATGATCACCTTTTGGCAAAACTGGCAAACTGCGGCCTCACCACCATCCACTGGCTGAGGAATTGACTCGACGGCAGGACCCAGAGGGTGGTGGTTGATGGAAGTCAATCGTTGTGGTGTGCTGTGACCAGTGGACTCTGTCCTAGGACCCTTACTTTTTCACATCAACAATGATGTGGACACTGGTGTCAGAAGCGGGCTTGCCAAGTTCACTGATGACACCAAACTCTGGGGTAAAGTATGCACACCTGAAGACAGGAGGGTGATCCAGACTGACCTGGACAGGCTCAGGGAATGGGCGGATGAGAACCTGATGGTGTTTAACGCCGATAAATGCAAGGTTCTCCACCTTGGGAAGAAAAACCTGTAGTATGCTTATAAGCTTGGCAGTGCTACACTAGCTAGCACTACAGATGAAAGTGACTTGGGGGTCATGATTGACCACAAGATGAACATGAGCCTTCAGTGTGATGCTGCAGCTAGTAAAGCAAGCAAAATGCTGGCTTGCATCCATAAATGCTTCTCAAGCAATTCCTGGGCCATCATTTTCCTGTTGTACTCGGCCTTGGTGAGGCCACAGCTGGAGTACTTCGTCCAGTTTTGGGCTCCACAATTCAAAAAGGATGTGGAGAAGCTTGAGAGGGTGCAGAGGAGAGCCATGGGACTCTTCAGCCTAGAAAAACGCAGGCTCGGGGGTGATCTGGTGGCCACCTATGAGTTTATTAGGGGTGCTCAGCAGGATCTGGGGGAATGTCTGTTCACCAGACCGCCCCAAGGGATGACGAAATCGAATGGTCATAAACTCGTCTGCGACTGTTTCAGGCTGGACATAAGGAAGAACTTCTTCACTGTCCGAGCCCCCAAGGTCTGGAATAGAGTGCCGCTGGAGGTGGTTCAAGCACCCACTTTGAAGACTACTTTTGGATGTTTATCTTGCTGGCATCCTATGACCCCCTGTTGACTTCCTGCCCCTGGGGCAGGGGGCTGGACTCCAGGATCCTCCAGGATCTTCCAGCATGAATGTCTATGGAATTGACTATGATTATTTCATAGATTCCGAGAGAAGTCAGGTTAGAAGGGACCTGCCTGTAGGGGTTGTAGTCATAGTCATGGGGTCATGGAGAAGCAGGACTGTAAGGGACCTCCAGAAAGCATGGAGTCATGGCCATAGAGGTGTGGGGCTACAAGAGACCTCCAGAGGCGGTATGATCATAGTCATGGAGAAGTGCCTCTGGAAGGGATTTCCAGAGGAGGACAAATTCTCCCCCCCACCACCACCACCAATCTGACGGGGGGGGGGAATCCCTTCCTGGCATGGGTCTGACCCTGAGCAGAGGGGCAAGACCCTCTAGCCAGGCCACTCTGGGGTTGGTCCCAGCAGCAGTCCAGTCCCCAGCCCAGGCTGCATCTAGCACCCGGTGCTTCTGGGGGAGCATTACCCCCCCCCCCCCCGACCC